CTACGACTCAAACACACCGCTGTGTGTAAATTAGTGTACGGTACTAGAACAAACTTTCGTGACAGTATGAATGCTTAAGGAACAGTTACCGTGTGAAAAGCATTTAGGTCTGAAAGCTTTTTTATTATGTGTATAAAAATCAGTGCCAGTGTGTGTGTGTACATTCTTAATCCCTTTCACAGTTATGATAAATGGATGTTGGTTGTCCTGAAGTGCAAATCGGTGCCATGTTATAACAAGTTGTCTCAGCAGCGTTAGAGTTCGACACTTCTGTGGCAGGTTTTTTTTTCTTTTGCTTCTCTTTGCCTTCATTCCTCACTGACATATTCTTTCTTGCATTTTTGCTTCTCCTTCCTCGTCTGTCTTTTGAACCTGAAACAAAGAAAGAATAGCACTTAATGTACCTTGACACAAAAAGCTTTTCTGTTGCTGAGGCAGCTATGCTAGTATTCTCTGCCTTGTCATCTTGCCTGACGTGGAGTCAGTCCATGACACGGGTCTGCTGCTTGGCTGGTTCTCCTGTGCTTCACAGAAACTTTATTGCTGCTCCTGTAACCAGTACGGGGAAGATTGTTGGGCCGCTGTTGTGTCAGCGTTGCAATGATTTGGCAGTATCAGCTCATTGTGTTTCCTTCATCACTGATCTGACTGGAAGAGTGAGTCAGTCAAATATCAGCAGGTACACCTCTCGGTCCATGTTTCCATGTTACAATCCACCCCACCCCTGTCAGTCATTGTTTAGTTAATTGTATTAGCATAGTGGTTTGAAACTAGCAAAGTGCTTCACTAAGTACTAATGTACTCTAAGTCATATCATATTTAATCTTCAGCTGTGTGAAAAATTATTTTCCTGTTCTTGTTTCTCAGTAATATCCGCATATGCCTGTGACAACCCCATTTAAAATCAGGGATAGAAGTGGGTGAACCCTGATGTCTCATCCCTAATCGGTGCAACTCCTGCTGCTGCAACTCTTCCCATGTTATAACCACACCTGGTCTCCCCTGTTTCTATTCTTGTTTTATTAGAATAATTTAAAGTAAATAATGTACATCATAAACATCTAGTGTATGTGAAATGAACTATAGTGTGATCATTAAAAAATCAAATATTTATTTACTAAAAATAAAAACTGCACTGATTTCCAAAATGAAGGAAAATATTGTTTACAAACTGATGAAATATCCAAAAAATTAACCTGTTCAGGAATAATAATAGGTTTAAGCATGAAACAGCACGTCACATTCATTATCAGCAGGAAATTACGGGCACTCTGACACATTAAACACATTCATTTACAAATTCATTTAGTTTTTAATGTTTGACGAGTGTTTCAGACCTGTGATCTGGCGTTTGCTCTGTGGCACCTATCAGCTCTGTCCTATCCTGTGGACACGAGATTTGAAAATGATTTATTATATTTGCATATTTAAACTCCCAGTTGATAATAAATAAAAAAATAAAATACAGTTTTCTTTTATCATCCAGGCAAAAAGCAAAAAGCCCTGCCTCTGAAGTTATAAAAATGATTCTGACAAAGAAAATCATTTTTTACTGCACATCATATCTGACATCATCAGGCTTCAGTAGCTGCTTTACACAAAAGCTGACGCCATGGTTAAACTGACATTGTGCTCTCTCGTCGCGTTGTGATAGAGTTTGAAGCAGAAATTAAATTCTGATCAGAAGGAAAGGCTCACATCTCTCTCAGTTTTAAAAGCTGTAGTTCTTGTTGCTGTTCTGAGTCCGAGTGAAGGAAGAGGAGCGCGTGGCCGCGGCCTCGATGAAGTCAGAGTTGGGGCGACGTGGCGGCGGGCGAGGCCTCAAACGGTCCGCTGCTGCTGAGGCGGTGTGTTTGGAGATGATCTCGGAGCAGCGTGTACACTGAGCACAGGTACGAACAAGAAAATCCCTGTTAAGTTTTCTTGTCGCACTTTGTTGCGAGCTGTGCCGCTGACGTGAGGAATGTGACGCCGCCACGACGAAACCTGCAACAGCAGCAGAAGAAGAAGAGCCAGCGTTTGTGATGGCGGTGGCTGTGAAGTCTGCGCCAGACCTGGAGGCTCCCACGGGGACTCTGAGGTGAGCGTGGATCGCTTTGCTTGACTCCTGACCTCTGAGCAGAGGAGGACGGGGACGGATCCACAGAGGAGGATGAAAGAGAAGCTCTGAGGGAGGAAGCAGCGAGCACATGAAGAAGAAGACGTGGTGTTTGACAGCGAGAAGCTTCAGATCTCAAACAGCAGATTTACTTTCAGAGGCCAAAGCTCACTGGGATGGACGCGACCTCTGACCCTGCAGGGAATCAAACTCAGTGATTAAAACAAAAGATGGTGCAGTCATGTGTTTAAGTTTTTCATGTGTAATTTTCTATGAGTAGAAAACAGAATCTATTCGATTTACCAATGTAACCAGCTGTAAAGTGTTTATTAAACAAAATAGTAAAAACTCGTTTCAGTTTCAGGTTTTAAAGGAAACTTCAGACTGACGCTTCCTCTGAGGGTTCCTTTGTTTCCTCTTCATCTGTGTCCAGAACATCTCAATTCCTCCACTATTACTGTTCTGGGTGGTAAAGTGTGTTATTTGGGGTGGCTGTAGCTCAGGTGGTAGAGCAGATCACCTACTTATCAGTAGGTGGTTTGATCCCCATCTGCTTTAGTCTGTGTGCTCTTCGATGCATCCATCGGAGTTTGAATGCGTATGAATGTTAGATAGAAAGTACTTACACGAAAGGGCATCGAAAAAAGTGCTTGTGATTAAGGCAATTTGTGTAAAATGCTTTGAGTGCTCAGATACAGAAGAAAAATGCTATATAAGAAGTTAATAAAATGTATCTATATAGCGCTTTTCACAGATAAAATTCTGTGAAATAAAAATCATAAAGTGCTTAATTTTCACAAAATTAAAAAGAATAAAAATACAACAAATAACAATATAAAACACACAGGAGGTTCAGAACTTCCTGGAAGTGCTGATTGCAAATTTGTCACAGTTTGATGTCTGTTGTTCAGGACTGCGGTCTGCTGGTCCAGCCAGATCGCTCCTGCGGTCTTCAGCCCCACAGCGAATCCCAGAGTCAACGTAATGCCTGCAGCTCGGGACACGTGTCAGGTCTGAGGTCCTGCCGGTGGACTGCTTCCTTAAGATAATACATCAAATTTAAGTCAAGTGACTTTTTGTTCTCGCCACCTCACCTGTGTGTCTCACCTGCCTGACAGGACGCTGGGTTGTTCCATGCCTCAGTTGTTCTGACAACAGGACGTGCGACTGGAGGGAAGTTTCCTGGCAGGCAGATGGTTGTTATCACCCAATAGTGGACCACCCACTGCTGCAGGACTGTATGAAGGACAGAAAGGTAAGGTCACCTGATCAGCTGATTTGAACCAGTCCATCTCAGATGTCTCAGTTTGTGGCAGTCGTCCTGATGGAGGTACATCACCAGCTCTCTCATTGCTCCTCAGCTGTTGTTTATCGGGGACTCAACAAATCGTGGGATGATGTACTTCCTGATGGAGAGGGTGAACTCCACCCTGGAGGACTGGGACAAAGCTCACGACACGCTGGTCTACAGGAACCTGAACAGAGGACGGACTCTGGTCAGCTACTCGTACTATCCTCAGTTCTGGCTGGAGAAGAAGCAGCGACCCACGTTCAGGGAGGCTCTGCAGCAGCTGCTCAACAGGTGAGGTCCTAACAATCCACTTTTGAGGCATGTTACATGAAGCCGTGAGATGTTTAACAGGTGACTTTTCTTGTTCTTGTCTGTTAAGGTCTCAGCCTCTGGTGAACTCTAACCAAACAGTTCTGGTTGTGGGAGGAGTCCAGTGGCTCAACACCAATCACCTGAGGACAGTCAGTGAAGTGCTGGACAAGTGAGGAGACACAGTGTAACACCACCTACATACAGTATAAACCACAGTGTTATCTCCATATGGGCTTACACTGATCTAAAGAACAGAGGACCTAACGCTGATCCCTGAGGTTCACCTGTACTCCAGTCCTGCATTTCCTGTAACATGAGAAACCCTTTCAGTAAAGACAGTAACCCGGGGTTTAGCGTTCGGGATTAGCAATGTTATTGAGGACTCTGGTTTCTATGGTAACGTGAGGTTACTTCTGTCCCTCCTCAGTAAATCTCTCAGTAACATCCTGGTGGTGGTGAAGTCTTTAGGGATGGGCTTCCATCTGCCTGTGGACGGGATCAGGTCTCTCAGTCTGGTAGGTTCCTGTTCCTGCTGTCATTCATACCCCTCTATGGGAATTAAAGCTGCTTTCTTTGATCAATATTTCAGACAGAGATACAGGACCTGTACAGGGAGAACGACGACATCATCACCACCGCCAAGCATCATGGGTACGAAGTGATTGACACGTTCAGCATCACGATGGGTCGATACAAAGAGTTCCTGCAGGGACGCTGTGCCTGTCACTTTCACGAGGTAACACAACTTGTGCTTCCAGTGGTCAGGGCTGCAGTCCTCACAGCTGATGTTCTGCTCTGTTTTCTCAGGTGGAGAAGTTTTGGTCCACAAAACTTTCCAGTGACAGAACGTCCACCGCGAACACGACCAGAACAGAGAGAACTGTACATACACTCGGCAGCCAATCAACCCTGCCAGACACGGAGCAGGAGGCGGGGTCTCAACCCACAACCTATCGTGTTAGAGGACCAGTGAACCAAGTATACTCTGAGATCCTTCTGAGCCGCCTGTGTCCCATTACCCGAAACTGAACACCTAGGAGGGGCCAGGTGAATCCTTCGGGAGAGTCACCTGTCCCCCTCCAGGACGTGGACTTCAGAGAGGGGTGGGGGACTCAATGGTGGAGGTGGATTATTCAGAATGAACAGAAGCCTCACTGTGCAGCTCAGGAGCACCAATCCGACGAGACGCTGAGGGTCTCAGACTCAGCTGCTGGCTTCTAATAAGCAGAGGTTACTCGAGATATCGCTCAGCTGGTTCCTGCTGCTCGCAGATGTTTAAAGTTTTCAGCATTTCAGTCCCAGCAGCAGGACTGTTAATCTCTGACCTTCTGCTGGGATTTTCCATTTCAGAACCAGAAAAATCCTCTACCATAATTCTGCTGACTGCACCAGCTGCTTCTCGCTGGCCCGTGTGTTTGACAGTGATATGAGTTAGCGTGGATTCAAGCAGCTGCTTCCTGATTCAGACTTAGCCTCAGGCCTCACTGATTGATCGATTCTGTATGTCAGACCAGTTTTAACATCAAAGACTTGATGAAAGCTCTTCATCACGTGACAGAAGCATCTTTTATGACTCTGCTTATATTTCTATATTTTTCTACAGATGTATAATGTGTCTTTTTATAAGCTGAAAACAGAAGAAATTAATATTTTTTATGACTGTGCTCATTCTGCTCTTCATACAAACAACAAAAGTCAAACAAAAGTTTTTAATCCTGAACTGTGAACACATTCACAACCACAACCACTCAGTCTTTTAAACACCGTCTCACTTATGGCTTTATAACATTTAATAAAACACCAGTGGACAAAACTCATCTTTTTCTCTTTATTATTATTATTATTATTATTATTATTATTATCATCTCTAGCTTCATCAGGACAGATTTTAGGTTGTTGAATAACTTTTGGAGGTCCACAGAGGAGGCTGAAAGCTCCAGAATTAGGAAATAAATTGTTTTTTATTTATTGCATTTTTTGGTCATATTGACAAAAGTTGCTTTAAGAAATTTTTCTTTACGTTTTTTTGACAAGCATTCTTCAAAAAAAAAATCCAACAGAGTTATTGTTTCCTAAATATTGTTTATTTTTTATTTCATTTAGACTTTTTCGTTTTAGTTCAGTTTAGTTTCCAGGGAGAATTTACTCCTTTAGTTTTCATTATTTCAAAAATGTTTCGTTTTTAATAGTTTCGGTGTTATTAGTTAGTTTTAATCTTTATTAAGTACAGGCACTACAATATAAACTCTGAACTTTCTGAAAGCAGTGACTCTCAGCAAACACGTTTTCTCATCAGTTGTAATGAAATCTGATCTCAGATATTAAAAGCATATTTCCTCCGTATCGTTTTTGCATTTTGGTTTGCTTTCTAAGTTCACAAAATCGTTTCAGTTTTAATCTTTTAAAGTTTTATTTTTATATAACTAAAATGTTTTCACCAAACCTCATTCAAAAATCAGCCACTTTTAGATTTTTTTTTCTACTGTGTTCCGTCGTTTATTTGCTTTTCGGGGATCAGATGTCAGCACGAAGTTTTTTTTTATCATGAAGCCTCTCACCCATCCAGCCAGTTATAGCCCAGCTCTGACGTCAGCTGCTGAGTCCTGAGTTGGTCCAATGAGAACCGTCCGGGACTGGGACTGGTCCAAGGTGCTTCTCCTCTCCTGCAGATCGAGGAAAGCACAGTAGCGAAAGGACTCCTTCAGCGGGATTCAGGAGCCTGCTCCGGGCCGGGTCGCTGTCAGCATGCGGAGCTGAGCAGGGATGGAGGCGCGGAACTGCGGAGTCCGACACATGAACGCTCTGAGTCTGCTGCTGGTGTGCGTGTGCCCGCTGTGCTGCAGGGGCAGCTGGATGTAAGTATGTTACAAAATACACACACACACACACACACACACACACACACACACACACACACACACACACAGCTCCAATGACAAACACACACACGCACACACACACACACACACACACACACACACACACACACACACACACACACACACGCTAAATAAAAGCCCAAGTTTTCTTCAGCTGTCTCGTGCCAAAGCGCGCGCTGGCACGGAGCTGTCAGAGTCATGCGTGAAGACGTTTATGGAGATGAAGCTCCCGGAGGAGCACACGGAGCCAGCTGGCTGTGAGCTGCAGGGCAGCGGAGAACTTGAGTGCAGAGTCCGCCTGGAAAACAGCGAATTCACCGGCTCAGCCTACAGGAGCATTAACGGTGTCGTTAAAGAGCGCCTCTTCTTTCGTGCTCATTAAAAGCTTCTCGCGCTCACAGAAATGCGCGCAGACTCGGTGTGACCTCTCTGTGACCCTCACACACTCAGCTGATGAGGTTTGGATCTCGTTTTTGGCTGAAACGCGCGGATTTTCCACGGTAATGTCCAAGAATCCGAATTTTGCGCGTGCACAGACCGTTTCTAATCCGCAGCAGCAGCGCACGCGCGCAAGAGACCTGCTCTACGCCAAGAGCCTGATAAAAGGCGCAGATGAGCGCCGAGCCGGGGGGTTGGGCTCGGAAATCAGATGGGGGGCACACATACACAGCGACCACTTTCTCTAATATGTGTTTTATTTTAGTATAAATACAGCAAGTATTTACACGTTTCATATAAGCACACTCTCGAAGTTTCTTATCGATTTCGGCCCGAATAACGGAACATCTCAGGTACATACAAGCGTTCATTTAGATGTTACGCTGTATGATAAGCAACCCCGCAGCCAGGAACGCTGCACAACGTGACGTCAGAGTTAGTGCTTCACTTCACACCTGTGCAGGATGGACAGGTAATAAATGAATAAATCAGAGGTGTGCTGTCTGAACTTTTCCTTATTTTAAATAAAGTTTTGCTGATTTCTGTCGACAGGTGGCTCGGTGTGACGTCACCGGGGTTGGTGGAGAAGCTGGGGTGTTCCAACCTGTCTCTGAGCCCCCGGCAGCGCGAGCTGTGCAGCAGGAAGTCCATCCTGCTGCCGGGAGTCCGGGAGGGCGCGCGCCTCGGGGTGGCCGAGTGTCAGAGACAGTTCAGGCACGAGCGCTGGAACTGTTCCACCAATCAGAAGGTGCCCGTGTTCGGGCACGAGCTCACGAGCGGTGAGTAAGATCACTTAACGGGGGTGGGGACTCCTCCCTCTGATTCACCTGGACGCGTGACTGCTCAGGTGAAGCAGGACCGTCATGGAGCAAATACAGGCTTCACTCATCGACAGAGATGGGCAGTTACGCGCGTTCCGATTACTTTTTTCAAGTAATGATTATAGTAAAGGATTACTATTGTAAAAATGCAATTAGATTAGTGTTACTTTCCCGTAAGAACGCTGTATTCAGTAGCGGTTTTTAATACGGGCGACACGGGCGACATCGTGGTGGGGGGCGGCATCAGGGGCATCGGCAAAAAAATAAAAATAAAAAATTGCTCGTACTCATGCTGCCCCCACATCAGCCAGCGCATATTGGGAATGGCATGGGCACCGAACGGTTTTCTATCGCCCATTTGCTGGGAGTAAGGGCGCCCTCCGTTTGCGAGGTGCGCCTGCTGCTTGCGGCACAGGGAGGAGAGGGCGGGGCGGCGGGGGATTCACTGCTGGCTGGAGCAGCATCTAATAACCAACTCGCAGAATAAAACAAAACAAAAACAAACCAACAAACACGAAAACACCAGACATTATGATACAGACTTATAATTTGCACCGATGTTTTTCCTCGGTGCACCTGCTCGCTGCTGAAGTCAAAGTAAACTTTATTGTCATCTCCGCTACATACAGTCCAGTATATAGAGAGACGAGACGACGAGGCTCCAGTTACAGCAGTGCAAGTAAACAAACAATAAATACAAGAAGAGTAAGAAAATAAATATACACTTTAGGACCAGGGGTAAAGGGATCAATAACAATTTTAAATTTATAATTTGCAGCTTGATGATTTAAAGTCTCACACACAACCCGTCGAAAAGGGAGACCCGCTGCTTCCAAATAGTGCACATTTCATTCATAATGATGTAAATCCAAGCCCATTATGTATTCATGATTTGAATCCTGGGTTGTGTGAAATCCCAGAAATAAACCCTAGACAAAGTGAATCTGTGAATTAAGGTGTAGGTGTGTTAGATCATGTTGTGGTGATCCTCGAGTTGGGGGATTTGTGTTCATACTGGAGTGCAAAATTAAAGCCAACGTAAGATGGACAAGAAAAGTTCAAAGTCATCAGGTGCTCAGTTTAGAAAAAATAGAAAAGAAGAGGAAGAGAAACGAGCAAAACATACAGGTAAGCAGACGTGTCATTGGATATGGCAGGTCATCCTGAAACAATCAGAATCAGAATACTTTATTAATCCCTAAGGAAATTATGTGCGTTACAGTTGCTCCAAGAAGAAATGGTAAAAATAGCAACAGTAACAGACTAAACTCCAAACAATACATTATGTTACAGATTTTAATATTAATTAGTCATTGTCAGTTGTTGATTCATCCTGTTCTCATTGTATGACGAATTATGATGGCTGCTTGGTAGCTGTTTGCATACTATGCATACTCTCTCTCTCTTCATGTGTGTGTTTCTATGGCGAAATTCAGTGTGGTTCCGACAACAGTTTTATGTTAATGTACAATCCTTAATATGTTTTGTGTGTGTGTGTGTGTGTGTGGGGGGGGGGGGGGGGGGGGGGTGTTCGCCCGGGGCGCCAAACAGGCTAGGACCGCCACTGGCTGTATTACTGGGTTACTAAACCCTGATTTTGTTTGTCAGTGTCTTATGACAGTGACGTAATAGCATGCGACGTCCGTGGCAGCAACAGACGTGTGCAGATCGACAGTGCGGGAGAGAGTGCGACCGTGCGGTGTTTAAAGCTTGGAAGTACTTACCTTACTTTGAGTTTGATTCTGTAAGAAGTGTCTGCTGTACACTCTGCGTGTGAAAAAAACTTCTTTCTACAGCAAAAAATTAAACTACAAATCATAGCAAGCACCCAGCACGCTGCCACAGGAATGTGAAATTCACAGAGAAATCCCCAGATCCTCCCCATTGACATGACTGCTGCAGCACTGGGAAAACCTGCGACGGCCCCACTCCTGCGAAACTGGTGAAAATAAGATTTAAGAGCGACAGGGCTAAGTGATGCTGAATCTTCGATTTTATTCATTTTTTGCTGTGTTTAACTTGCATTTATTTGAAAGAGTGATTGTAAACACAAAAAATAATTTATTTTATATGCTGGAATATGCAGATTGGTTTAAATCTGGTTTTCAAATCTGGTTTAAATGTAAAAAGAAATTCTTCTAGTCAGAGACAGTTGAATATAATTTAGTTTTTGCTTGATGAAATGTGCATAAAGTTAAAAGATTAAAACTAATAAAACAAGAGAATTTTCAATATTATATGATGGATTATGCAGAAAAAAATAGAATTAGGCTGAAAGGTCTATTGCTTTATTACATATTCAGGTTGTTTATCATGTTTTTAAAAAGTAACTAAGTAATAAAGTAACTAATTACTTTTGAAAATAAGTAATCACTAAAGTAAAGGGATTCGGAGAAATAAAGTGATTTGGAGAAGTAACTAATTACTGTTTTTAAGTAACTTGACCACCACTGCTCACTGAAACTTTATTTGTTCCAAAGCTCTCCAAAAGCAGCCACAGAATCCTACTGAACAGTGGCCGTTTTAGCTTGCTTCTGATTGGCTGAAATGAATCTGACTGAAACCATGTATTTTTTTCCACTCAGGCGTGTGTTAGCTCAGCTTCTCTGAGAATAGATTCGATTTTTGTATAATGTGCGCCAGGTGAGTTTAATTAGGGGACAAACTCCAGAGCCAACCAGTCGAGAGACAGTAAAAGAGGAAACAAAATAAGTCTGGTTAGGTGAGGCAGAGTGAGGAAAAGGGTAAATAGAGTAGGAATTTTTACAACAACAAGGCATTCAGTAACACCATCAAGGGTCACAGTGTGAGAGGTCAGAGGTCGCTGAGAGTAAAATCAGCTTTTACAGTCTGAGGAAAAACACTGGTTAACAAACTTATGTATATCTGTGATGGTCAGAGTGCACATAAACCCATAATGTAGTCACATGACCTCATTTCATTCAATGACTTGTAAATTAAATTCATCAAAGAGAGAAATTTTCTCCTTCAGTTAAATTTTCAGACTTCAAAGCAGAAAATTCAGGTTTCAGAAATCGTTTAAATCTTTTTCTGCAGTTCCTGTCTCTGCCTGTAGAGGGCAGCGCTCCCTTTAGCACCAATACCAGTCTTAGCGATAAATGATTTCTTCACTTCCTCAATGTGATCAGAATACTTCAGACAGCGCGTCTGAATATGAGACTTTACAGAGACTACAGACTGTGAAACTCACAGAGACTGCACCTCAGTCTGAAAAACCCTCCATCCATATATCCATCCATTTTCTTCTGATGATGAAAATGTATGTGAAGTGATGATATGAAATTAAAATAAGCATAAATATTAAAACATTTACACAGACTTTAAATATTTTATTTTAATACACTTTTAAATATAAAATCTATTAATTATATATTAAATTATTAGATAGCCAGTGAATTTTAACTGACAGGACTTTGCCTGTGTGCTAACACTGACTGCTTTTAGTTTTGGACTGAAAGATAAAAGCAGCTGGAGTGTGACCAGTACAGAGTGGTTCTGCCTTCATTTCTGAGGGGTACTCTGAATCAGGTGAAGATTGTTAACCAATGAGCAAAGAAGCATCTGAGACGATGAAAGTATACCTCATGAAACCTCCTGAAATAAGTGTCATGTCTGCCCATTCTGTCACTGCAGGAACCAAAGAGACAGCGTTCATCTATGCGGTGATGGCAGCAGGGCTCGTCCATGCCGTCACGCGCTCCTGCAGCCAGGGCAACATGACGGAGTGCGGCTGCGATGCTCGGCTGCGGGGCGGCGGCTCAGCAGCAGAGGGCTGGCACTGGGGCGGCTGCTCAGATCACATCCAGTACGGGACGTGGTTCAGCCGCAAGTTCATGGACCACACCTTGAAGAACATGTCGACGAGCCGCAGCAGCTACACGCTGAGCACCATGAACCAGCACAACAGCGAGGCCGGGCGACAGGTGAACGTCGACGACTCAAACTAAAGCTGAAAGTCTAAAGGTCCAAGGTGTGATTAACTTCCTGTTTGCATCCTGCAGGCGATCAACAGGACGATGTCCACAGACTGTCGTTGTCACGGTGTTTCTGGCTCCTGCGCGGTGAAGACATGCTGGAGGACGATGGCGCCGTTTCAGCGGGTCGGGACGTATCTGAAGGACAGATACGAGCACAGCATGCAGGTGACGGAGCGATCCAAGAGGAAGATGAAGTGGAAGGACCAGCGGCGTCTCCATGTGGACAAACACCAGCTCATCTTCCTCAACAAGTCTCCAAACTACTGTCTGGAGGACAGGCGGCGGGGCATCGCGGGCACCAGAGGGCGCCGGTGCAACCGGACATCCACGGGGCCGGACAGCTGTAACCTGCTGTGCTGCGGCAGAGGATACAACACACACGTGGTCAGACACGTCCAGCGCTGCGAGTGCAAGTTTGTGTGGTGCTGCTACGTCCATTGCAGGCGCTGCGAGAGCATGAACGACATGCACACCTGTAAGTAACACACCTGGAAACAGAAACACGTGGAACACGTAGCTTACCTTCATTCACCTCAGCATGATACCTGGTAATAGAAGAACACCTGGAATAAAAGAAGGATTTGTGGGAAGAGACAAATTGGACATCTGGATCTGAAAGAGTGTAAACATAAGAAGGACTGAACCTCTCAGGTGAAGACAGATCCTCCTTGGACCAATCTGAGGTCAGCAGTACTTGGTACATTTACAGCAGCACATGGCACAGCTTCACCTTCTCTCTTGATAACATCACCATTAGAGTAAACCTGCAGAAGAGTCACAGAAGAAATGGGTGAGCAGCTGCCTGAGGGCGAGCAGTGAAGGTGAAGCCTTAAGTTTACCTGTCGATGTGGCGAGGAGCTCAGAGCGGAGCTGCTGCTCCATGTGGAAAGATCCAGGTGAGCCACGTGACAGCCTCCTGCATGCCTCCTGTGTGAGCTGTTTCATGTTCACCTGTGAGCAGCAGACCCAGGACAGGACTTTACTGCCTGAACGTTTAAATGTTTCAGACTGGACAGACTTCTCCAACGTGATGTTTCTGAAGCATTCAGAGTGCCACCAGGAGGAGGATCAGTGCTGCTGCACACTCAATCTGAAGATCTAAATGACTGAAGCACACCAGATGGACTCCTGATCAGTCTCACCAGTTCTGCAGCCCACAGACTGAGTTCATATTTTAAAATAAAGATATTTATGTGTAAATAATTTTTAAAAGTTGATTATTTGGTATGGAATCATATTTTTATAATTTCTGTCCAAAAAGAATCAAACTGACATCAGAAGGTGAAATGATCCCGTAAATGTGGACGTGAAGAGTTCCTTGTTCAATTTCTGTTGGCAAACTTTATTAACAAAACATGAAAACAACAGAACAAAAAGCTGTGAGTCTGTTTAAAGGTTCCACACAAATACGGTTTATTATACTTTGACTAATAAAAATAAAATGCCTGGTAGAGAAAATGTTAGAGGAGATTTGGTTCAGTTTGTCTTTAACAAACCATAAAACTCCTCACAAGATATTCCAGAAACATTCCCAAAAAGGCATCCTGAAAGAAGGAAACCTTGTGAATAATCCAGAAACAGGAAATACTACATTCCAGCTGGAAGTACAGCAGTATAGCTGTACAGGCAGCTGATGATGTAGAGTAAAAGTACTTCATTACATCTGATCACAGAAGGCCCTGCCTATTCTGCCTCCACCTCACCCAAGAAGAGTCTTCTTTTTGATTTTTGAATAAAAGAATGATTAAAGACATCAGAAAGATGTAAATATAACAAGCATATAAAACATATTAAGCCTGCACATCTTTGTTCACATGGATGTGTTTAAATAAAGTTAGGAGAAAGTATCCTGTCTGTCAGTTGGTGATGAACGCATCCATCACTTCTTTCATTTGACAGTTTAAACAGCAGGAACAAAAGAACAGCTGATGAAACATCAGACCGTAGAAACAATTTGAGAAACATTCAAACTGATCTGAACTGTGCACAGCTCTCTGAGCTCTGCAGCAGCTCGATTCTTTTCTGTTTCAGCCGTTCAGTTGCAAAATTTGCTGCTGTGCTTGGATCTTTGTCCTGCTGATGACCCAGGTTGGTCCCAACTTTATCTGTGGGACAGATGGCCTCACACTGAAGAACCACAAAAGAAGTTCAAGGTGCACTTAGATCATCATCCCTTCTCCACCGTGCTGACACTTGATCCAAGCTGTTTGCTGTGCGTGATGGACAAACATCTACATTTGGTCTCATCTGTCAAAGGATGTTGTTCCTGAAGTCTTTGTTCAGATGCAGCTTTACAAACCCGATCCCTGCTCTTATGTCCTCTTACTGAGAAGAGGCTTTCTCCTCCAGCCCCTCTGAACAGCCATTCCTGTTCTGCCTTTTTCTAACCATGCTGTCATGAACTCTAACCTTTAACCTGCTAACTGAAGCCTGTAGAGTCTGAGATGTAGCTCTTGGAATGTAGTTTTTTATTTTTTTGATCAGTCTAACCCTGTAAATAATTTACTGTAACATAAACGCCTGAATGGACCACACCTTCAAACTGCTAAAATGTGTCCTTTGGTAGAGGAGCTCAGACCGACGATGACGATCAGTTAATCAGTGCATTGATCATCAGCACATGGATGCAGTAAGGCTGGACTCTGCAACAGACAGACACCACAGTGCCCTGAGTTTTAGGATCTGTGCATTCCCAGAGTGTAAATTAGGGGTGTAAATGAGGGGTGTAACGTCTGTAACATCAAAAAAATGATCGTCCTGCTCAGCTGATCTCTGAGCTCAGTGAACTTTCTCCTGACCAATTTCAGTTCTGACTGAATCCAACATGGAGTTCATTTTGTTCGAGTAGCACAGCAAGGACTGATCGTGTGTACCTCAGATAAACTATTTAAACTTTGTACTTATTCATTATTCTTATATTCAGGCCTTCAAACCTTCAGGCATAGTTGCAGGGTTCAGGTTTGGGTTGAGGCCGCGGGTCTCGTTGCATGTTGCTGAGTCAGAGAGGGTCCTCACAAAGACAGGAGTGTGTGTTATCAGCAGTGTGTGATGATGAGGCAGAAAGATTTGGGGAAAAAGTGAAAACATGTTCTTATTTACACTCCAGGATTTCCTGCCATTCTTACTGCACATTACTGAACAGGGTATGCCAGGCACAGATCCAGGGGCCCACAGGGTCAGGGGTCACACCCAGGCTCCTGTGTGTGATCATCTGCTGCCCTCAGCTTCTCCTCAGAAATCAAACATCTGCATTCCTGCGTGTTCACATTCACACATTCATACACGCAGAAACTTTATAGCGAGCATGTCGACCGCGGCACTGCCGTCGGTGTGAGGTCAACGCAGGAGTGACGATTATGGCAACCTGAGACCAACTGAACTGTGTATGTGTGTGTGTGTGTGCGTGCGCCGGTGTGTTTGTGTGTGAGTGTGTTTCTGTATATGTGTTGTGTATGTGGGAGTGTATCTGTGTGTCTCTGTGTATGTGTGTGTGTGTGTGTGTGTGTGTCTCTCTGTTTTTAAGGTCTGAAACACAGACACACAGAGTGTTGATTTGTGTGTGTGTGTGGTGTGTGTGTGTGTGTGTCTCTGTTTTTAAGTCTGAAACACAGACACACAGTGTTGATTTGTGTGTGTGTTGTGTGTGTGTGTGTGTGTGTGGTGTGTGTGTGTGTGTGTGTGTGTCTCTGTTTTAAGGTCTGAAACACAGACACACAGAGTGTTGATTTTGTGTGGTGGTGTGTGGTGTGTGTGTGTGTGTGTGCATGTATGGGTCAGTGTGTACCTCGGACTCGGCAGTTTCCTTTGAGTTTGGTTTTTCAGGAAACACATGAGGGATGATAAAGGAGGAGGAGGCGGCTCAGAGGCGCAGGAGCTGAAAAGAGTTGGCGGGGATAAGTTGGAGGGCAGAAGAGATGGAGGTCCTGCAGAGCGTCCGGCTGCTGTGTGTCTCCTGATGAGATGATGATGATGAGTGAGCTGAAGATGTCAGCTGCTGCACAGGTAAGCTCGTCCGCCTGTTTTTATTCATGGAGTTCGTTCAGCTTCAAACTCAAAAACTGAACTCGGCGGTTCAGATGTAAAAATCTACATGAGCTTCAGGATGTAAAGTTGGACACTGGTTGTCGTGCGTCAGCGTCTCTGTGAAACTTTGAGTAGATGAATCTGAGAGCCCTTCCTCACATCAGCTCAGAAAGAGCTCCATTTATTTTAGTTGTGCTGTCCTGTTTGAAGCTTCATCTGTGATAACTTCTGGTTTTCTGATATCTTACATAACGATGTGTTCTCTGACTGAAATATTATGAGCTGCAGACTGAAGCACTGCTCACATCATTTGCTCTGACGTTCACTTCTGGGGAGGGGGAGTCACCTGAGAGTGTGGACGCAGTGGGAATAGCCCCAACCCTCATTCAAGAAGCTTTACATTCACATAAACAATGTGAGAAATAACTAGTGTGGGGTACTCAAGCAGAATGTTGCCATGGTTACAGGCAGTACTGTGTAGTATTATGTGCTCTGTATAAACAGATCTTCAGTCTGATATGTGCTGGTGCAGCCAACAGCTGGAGTATGAGGTACCTGCAGCAGCCTGCTCAGGTCTGCAGAGCTGCAAACAAAGAAACACAGCAGAGACTGCAGGAAGAAGCCGCACATGCCAAAGACTAAAGCTCCGCCCACACAGGAATAGCTGTGCAGCAATGCGATGACTGTTGAACTTCAGTGAAGTTGAGACTTATAGAGATGACACAGAGCGGATCGATTAGTGGAAGCCGCGTGTTTAGATAAGCTGATACTGGAAACTGAGCGGGAATCACATCAGAGGTTATCTCAACAGCCAGAGCCCGCTGACAAGCAACTGTCACCGAGCAAAGGCAAAAGGAACCAGTTTATCTGTCAGCAGCTGATTCCCATCTGAACCTGCAGGCTGTAACAGGAAGTCATCATCGGCCCAGGAACTCCGTGTCCTGTTTGCCTCCTTTGACCGTTCCTGGGTGGAGCTGATGGGCAGATAACCACAGCTGCTATTACAGTTATTACACTTACTTCCTGTTCCAGTCGAGCCACCAGCAGCAGTCTTTGGTTTTCAGGTCCAGAGGAGGAGGTTTAATAGTTTACAAAGTGATGAGTTGAACTTTTCCACACTGCTACCTTCTAGTTTACCTGCACGCTGACAGTGTGTGGAGCACTGAGCTCCTGATGGTTGGAAATCGTCCTGCTAAGAGCTGCAGCCACACACTGCCAGCACAGTTTCACTCACACAGCGTAGACATTGATGAAGACACTTTTCTTTCTTTTTTTTTCAGAACTTTGCTCCAACCGACAGTGCTCCGCACTCGCACGATGTGCCACTCCTGCACCATCAGCCAGCTGATCCTATGCCCATCAGGATTCAAACCCACGCCCAGATCCAACGCCCAGGACTGCAAGTGAGCACCACATAGCACAGGTCCACTCAAGTCCTCATTGTGGTTCAACTGATGGTTGAAACAATAAACTGTGATTAGCTTCTTTGCACAATTCAAATACCTCCACAATTTCACATCAAACATCACAACTCACACAAGAAACTTAAAAGATCTCCACATCACCTCTTTAATAATTTCTATGAATTTACAGTTAACAGTTCTGCTGTCGAGTCAGGGTTCAAAACAGTCCTTCTGCGTATCACACTGAGCCACAGAGCAGCCTCTCCGTCTGAATCAGGCTATATAAGGACCCCTCCCTCCCTCACCCACCTCCACCTCTAAGAGGAGAGAGCTTGCTGTCCTGATCCCAACATCAGCAGCCACTTTACCTCCA